CGGCGTTGGGTCTGCTTGTGCTCGTGATGGGTGTGTGCGGCGTTGGGTCTGCTTGTGGTGCTCGTGATCGGTGTGCGTGAAGCCGGTTGGCTTTGCCTTAATGCTCACCCTCCCTCACGTTTGCTGTTGCTGATGAAGCCTTGGCATTTGTAGAGCCTTCGTAGTTGTCGTTCCTGCTTGTCCGTTAATCTTGTTCTTTGTTATTGGATTCAGAGTGAAGTCACCACTCGTTCCCGAATTGCGCGGACACTGGGCCTAGGCAGGCCTGTTCACAGCACCTGCATTCCGTCAGTGTTCAAGCCGGTGGAACCCTCCCTGGGGCTGCTGCGAGCGGACATTGGAGCTGCCTCTCTGTCTCTATTTGGAGACCCCTATGAGCTGGACCCCTTCGACAGGTGACCGAATGGGGGATGGTCCTGTATGGGCACCTGCTCCTCTCCATGGGGGCTGTGGCCACAGGGCTCTGAGGTGCACGTGGAGGCCTCAGGGTTCGTGTTTTTGAGTGAGAGTGGCCGTTCCTCCTATCACACCTGTGTGTATGGGGCCCGAGGTGCACGCGGAGGCCTTAGGGTTCGTGTCTGTGAGGGTGGCCATTCCTCCCACCGCCACACTCGGTGCAGGTGGGCCACGTGGAACTTACGGGTCTGGTGCAGGTCCTGAATCGCGTGTGCCGCCATGGCCAGCGCTCGGCCACCCTTCTCAGTGCTGTCTCCCTGGGCTGAGGGTTCTGGGAGCTGGGAGTCACCTGTTCCCTTTGGCCTATGTTCTTCCCTCTAGCAGTGAAGAGCTTTCTGCAAACCCCCTTTCCCCGCTGAGTGCCAAGAGACGGGCGCTGTCCCAGTCGGCCCTGCAGTCCCACCAGCCTGTGGCCAGGCCTGTCTCCGTGGGGCTTTCCAGGTGTGTGAGGGCAGAGGCTTCTGGGGAGTGGGGGTGGCAGTGGGGCTGCAGCTGGGGGCTCCAGGGTGTGGCCATGACAGCCTGGGTCTCTGTGGTCCTGGGTGGCCTCAGCACCTCCCCTCAGCCGTCACACTCGTCACGGAGCTCTGGCGTAAGGCAGGGCTCAGCCTGTCCTGCATGGAGGCCACGGCCCGTGAGCATGGACTGGAGGCCACGGCCTGCCCGCGAGCATGGACTGGAGTTGCTGCACCTCCACGAGGTGGCCCCTCTGCCCCCACCCCGGCCTGAGAGCCACCAGCACAGGGACCCCATCTCACGCAGGAGCAGGGGCCCTGTTGAGTAAGGCTATCATCAGAGGTCATCTCTTGGCCAATTCTGTTTTGGCTCAAGAAAAAAATTAACCCAAACCAACAAAACAGGTAAAGATGCTTGTCTGCCCCCTCCCGCCTGATGGTGGAGTGTGGCCAAGGCATCAGAGGTGACTTCTCCCAGAAACACCTGGTTTCCCTGGAGGCAGGGCTGGGAGGTGGGGCTTCCTCCTTCCCTCTGGGAGGTCTGTCGGGGCACCTCTTCTCAAAACAGCATCTGGAGCAGGACTGTGGGGGAGGCACAGGCCCCGTCCAGCCCCACTAGCCCCGACTCCCGCCTGCTGCAGGGCTCTGCCTGGGTACCAGCCCATGGGCTGTGAGAGGCAGTGATGGCAGGGCCTCGGGTCTATGCCCACAGGAGGCGTCTTCCTGCGGCGGTGCCGGAGCCAGATGTGGAGGAGGAGCCAGTGCCCGACTTGCTGGGCAGCATCCTGTCAGGCCAGAGTCTCCTGATGCTGGGCAGCAGTGACGTCATTATCCACCGTGACGGCTCCCTCAGTGCCAAGAGGGCAGGTGAGCGCCTCCCCCAGCACGGCCGCCCACTTCTTCCTGACAGGGCCGCCCACCTGACCCCAGTGCTCGCCCCAACACGGCCATGTGCCTCCCCCTGCACAGCTGCCTCCGTCTGGGCTTCTGATCCTCAGCCTGCTCCCAAGGGCTCAGCCATTTTCTCCATTGATTTCTCTTGAGCAGTTCACAGTTTGCCCCGAGTTCTTACTGAGCCCCACAGCTGCAGGGTATGGCCCCTAGTACCTGGGTGGTATCATTTCCTAATGGGGTACTGCCCGCCCCTGGTGAATATGTCTTAATGGGGTGCTGCCCGCCCCTGGTGAATGTCGTGTCCTAACGGCCTCGGGCACTGCACCTTGTCATCCACAGTGTGGCTGTTGAAGCAGCTCTTTCCCCAGGTGTGGAAAGGCGAGGTGTTCACCTCAACAGGCAGATGGGAGTTTAAAGTGCACGACCTCACGGAAAACCAGTTGTAATAAAAGTTAAACCAGTAGCATTTACGAAGAGCAGGTGGGAAGTGATTGCACTGATTTTTTTGTTTTTTAGCTCCAGTTTCTTTTCAGCGAAACTCACGCGGTCTGTCCAGAGGGGAAGAAGGGTCCAAGGACTGCCTGCAGCCCAGAGCGCTGCCCTCAGGGAGCCCGGCTCAAGGCCCCTCGGGAAGCAGGCCACAGGGCTCAGGGCTCAGCTGTCAAGGCATCCCCGCCCGCACATCGGGGGCGCCTATGAGGCTGGACTTCTCTGCAACCCCTGGGCCGGTTCAGGCTCGGAACTTGTCAAATGGGAGTGCGCCTGGCGTAAGACACAGTCACAGCCCCCGGTTCAGCGGCACCAGCAAGCACGCTTTGCCTCTTGCTTCCGCCGCGTCTAAGAGCTCCAGCAGAGATTCTAACCCCCCATCTCGCAGTGTGGTGCCAGGGCCTGCCCTGAAACCAGCGCCCAGAAGAGTGGACATCTCTGAGCTACCCAGGATACCAAAGATCAGAAGAGACGGCAGCGGCAGCAGACAGGCCACGGCCCCGGACCCTGGGCAGAGCATCGAGATCCCCAGCGCGTGTATCAGCCGGCTAACCGGCAGGGAGGGCACCGGGCAGCCGGGGCGAGGTGTGCGGGCACAGAGCGAGGCCAGCAGCAGGGTCCCGCGGGAGCCTGGCACGCACACAGGCAGCTCCCGGCCTCCGGCCCCCAGCTCCCATGGCAGTTTGGCCCCACTGGGATCCTCAAGAGGGAAAGGGGTTGGGTCAACCTTTGAGAGCTTCCGGATCAATATTCCTGGAAACACGGCGCATTCCAGTCGACTCTCCAGCCCCGGCTTCTGTAACACATTCCGGCCCGTGGACAACAAGGAGCAGAGGAAGGAGAACCCCTCGCCCCTCTTCTCCATCAAGAAGACAAAGCAGCTGCGGAGCGAGGTCTACGACCCCTCGGACCCCACCGGCTCTGACTCCAGCGCCCCCAGCAGCAGCCCCGAGAGGTCCGGCCCCGGCCTCCTGCCCTCTGAGATCACGAGAACCATCTCCATCAACAGCCCGAAGGTCCAGACGGTTCAGGCTGTGCGCTGCGTCACCTCCTACACGGTGGAGAGTGTCTTCGGGACGGAGCCCGAGCCCCCTCTTGGGCCATCCTCCACCGTGTCCAAGCTCCGGGGCGCGGTGGCTGCCGAGGGGGCCTCTGACACAGAGCGAGAGGGGCCAGGCACAGAGGAGCCCATGGAGAGGCAGGGCCTGGCTGCCCGGGTGCGGAGGCTGTCCCCCTCAGAGCCCTGGGAGGACAACGATGGAGCGTCTTGCAGCACCTTCTTTGGCTCTGAGGAGCGGACGGTGACCTGTGTGACAGTCCTGGAGCCGGAAGCCCCGCCCAGCCCGGACGTGCCGCAGGCAGCCACCCACCGGGTCGTGGAGCTCAGGCCCCCTTCCCGGTCCCGCTCCACGTCCAGCTCCCGAAGCAGGAAGAAGGCCAAGAGGAAGAGGGCATCCAGGGAGCGCCGGCGGACACGCTCCAGGACACGCTCCGGATCCAGGGACAGGAGCTCGAGGTCAGGGTCGCCGTCGGTGGGCGAGGAGCGCCTCAGGAGGCAGCGGTCCAAGGCCAAGAGCCATCGGTCCTCCAGCGACCGCTCCAGCAGCCGAGAGCGAGCCAAGAGGAAGAAAGCCAAGGACAGGGGCCGGGAGCACAGGCGGGCCCCCTGGGGCCGCAGCCGGAGGACGTCCCGGTCACGCTCGGGGAGCCCGGGCAGCTCTTCCTACGAGCACTATGAGGGCAGGAAGAAGAAGACGCGGAGATCAGGGTCCAGACCTCGGGGAAGGGAGTGCTCCCCCCCCAGCAGCCTGGAGAGGGTCCGCAGGCACAAGCACCAGCGGGAGCGCAGCCGTGAGCGGCTGGACCGGAAGGAGACTGCGGTGCGGCCCCGAGACCGGAGGAAGCGGAGGTCCCGGTCGCCAAGCTCAGAGCACAGGGCGCGGGAGCACAGGCGGCCACGGTCCCACGAGAACCTGCCCCGCAGCCGCTCCCGGTCCCCAGAGAGGAAGGGAGCTGTGAGGGAGGCGTCCCCATCGCCCCTTCCACAGGGGGAGCCGGTGCGGGAAGACCTCCCAGCCAGGTCGCCAGCCTTGGTGGAAGCTCATATCTCACCGGAGGTGGCTGTGGCCGACCAGGTCCCCCTGCAGGTCCCCGCTGTCCTGGAGGTGGTGGCCGAGTGCACGCCTGACGATCTGGATTATGGCGACTCCGTGGAGGCGGGACATGTCTTTGACGATTTCTCAGATGAAGCTGTTTTCATGCAGCTCGATGACATGAGCTCACCACCTTCTCCCGAAAGCACAGACTCTTCCCCGGAGCGCGACCTCCCTCCGAAGCCTGCGTTGCCCGCAGCCAGCCTGGCCGCCATCCAGAGGGAGGTGTCGCTGATGCACGATGAAGACGCTTCACAGCCCCCACCCCTGGCAGAGGACCACCAGGAGCTGCATGTCGCTGAGAAGACCGAGGCGCCCGGTTCCCTGGGTGTGGCGCCTGTGGGGAAGGAGGATGGCCCTACCATGAGTGGGAGGGTGCAGGAGGCGGCCAGGCCTGAGGAGGTGGTTTCGCAGACCCCCCTCCTGCGGACCAGAGCCCTGGTGAAGCGGGTCACCTGGAACCTGCAGGAGTCGGAGAGCAGCATTCCTGTTGAGGACAGAGTCCCCCGTGAGTAGGGCCCCGGTCCCCACTGAGGACAGCCCCCAGAGAATCGGGCCCCGAACCCCAATGAGGACAGGCCCCCAGTGAGTAGGGTTAGGACCCCGGCCTCTGTCCAGGACTGAGCCCCCGGTGAGTAGGGTGTAGGGGCCCGGCCCCTGTCCAGGATAGGCCCCTGGTGACTCCGAGACCTGCAGAGGACAGGGCCTCTGGGTGAATAGGGCCCTGACCGCCACAAGGGAGCTTCTGAGGCCAGGGAAGAGTGGGATGGGGGGGCAGGGTCTCCCTGCAGGTGGGCCGAGCAGGTCGTGGTAGGGGGGTCGGGCTAGGAGCTGGCATATGTCTCCCCTCCCCTGGCTGCTGGGGGTGGATCTGAGGGCTGCTCTGTGGTCCTTGTTCCTGGTGCTTTTCTGGATTTTTCCAGCTGTGAGCAGCATCTTGGGCATGGGTGGGCACAAAGCACCCACCTCCCTGTCTGTCGGGTCCCCAGGGGCACCACTTCACAGGCCTCAGAAGCCCCGAGAAGGAGCCTGGGATGTGGAGGACGTGGCCCCCACAGGGATCAGGCAGGTGTTCTCCGAGCCGCCCCCTCCTGGTCATGTGCTTCCGGAGCCTGGGTTTCCAGACACAGACCCCTCTCAGGTGGGTGCCTGGGCTGGAGGGCTGTGGGCTGTGGGCAGTAGCCTGGCACCCATGCCACACACGCTACACCAGGCTGGGGCTGAGGCCTCATGGCTCCTGGGCACAGGGCTGCCAGTTGTAAGGCCCTGTGCTCAGTGGGGCATGTCCTTCCCAGGTTTACAGCCCCAGCCTGCCTCCGGCCCTGGCCCAGCCCTCAAGCATCCCACCCTGTGCGCTGGTCAGCCAGCCCACAGTCCAGTTCATCCTGCAGGGGAGCCTGCCCCTGGTGGGCTGTGGGGCAGCACAGACCCTGGCCCCAGTGCCCACTGCCCTGACCCTAGCCTCAGAGCCAGGCGGCCAAGCCACTGCAGCCAGCAACTCGGAGGAGAAGGCCCCCACTCCTAGGCTAGCTGCAGAGAAAACCAAGAAGGAGGAGGTGAGTCCTGCCTCTTCCCCTTCCCCCATGTTCCCATCTTGTTTTGAAACTAAAGTTGTTGGCCGGGCCTGGTGACTCAAGCCTGTAATCCCAGCACTTTGGGAAGCTGAGGCAGGCAGATCACCTGAGGTCAGGAGTTGGAGACCAGACTAACCAACATAGAGAAACCCCATGTCTACTAAAAAATAATATAAAAGTTAGCCGGGTGTGGTGGCGGGTACCTGTGATCCCAGCTACTCGGGAGGCTGAGGCAGGAGAATCACCTGCACCCAGGAGGTGGAGGCTGCAGTGAGACATTTGCGCCACTGCACTCCAGCCTGGGCGACAGCATGACTCTGTCTCAAAAAGCTGAGGGGCGGAAGCCGGTCCTTGTGCCTCTGAACTGCGTGTCCAGAACCACAGTGCCTGTGGCCAGAGGGACCCCAGGCCCCTGCCCAGCCACGTCCAGCATGACGCGCGTGCCCCCGTAGTACGTGGCGTGACGCGCGTGCTCTCTCTAGTACATGAAGAAGCTGCAGGTGCAGGAGCGCGCAGTGGAGGAGGTGAAGCTGGCCATCAAGCCGTTCTACCAGAAGAGGGAGGTCACCAAGGAGGAATACAAGGACATCCTACGCAAGGCTGTGCAGAAGGTGGGCTGTGCACACGTGTGTGCGTGTGGGAGCTCTGGGTCCCGGGGGCTGTGCACACGTGTGTGTGCCTGTGGGAGCTCTGGGTCCCGGGCAGCACGTTGCTGCCGTGTGGCAGGTCGGTACTGTCTCATCGACACGGACTTTGGGGTGAAACCCAGTGCGGGCCTGAGGCCAGCCAACCAGGTCAGGGGTCTGCGTTGCCACATCCTGGCTGCAGGCCTGGGGCTGCCCCAGCAGATGCTTAGGGAAGAGGTGCTTCAGTGCCTGCAAGGCACATGCGGGTATGTTCTCAGATATTTAAAATACCCAAGGCCGGGTGCAGTGTCTCACGCCTGTCCTCCCAGTACTTTGGGAGGCCAAGGTGGGCAGATCACCTGAGGTCAGGAGTAAGTCTGGCCAATGTGGTGAAATCCTGTTTCTACTAAAAATAAAAAAAATTAGCACATGCCTGTAATCCCAGCTACTCAGGAGGCCAAGGCAGGAGAATTGCTTGAACCCAGAAGGTGGAGGTTGCAGTGAGCTGAGATGGCGCCACTGCACTCCAGCCTGGGTGACAAAGCAAGACTCCAGCTCAAAAAAATAAAGTTGCCCAGCCCACCTTCAGCTTACAGATCGGAGAACAAGACTCCCAGAGGTGAGCAGGTACCTGGTGATGGGTCTCACACCCACGGTCTCTGAGCTCAGGCTCATGCTTCCCCCGACACTGTGGGACCCTCAGTGGCCCTGTGATGTGGCAGAGCAAGCAGGATGGGGGTCTCACGTGAGTGGGGCGGCCCCTGCTGCCATCTGTATTCGTGCCAGCACCCAAGGCCTGCTCCTGTGTAGGGCAGGTGAGGTACCCCGGCTGTGGCCCAGAACCTCTGGATTGGAAAGGACGTTGGGTGATGGGCTCTCTCTCTCCAGATCTGCCACAGCAAGAGTGGGGAGATCAACCCCGTGAAGGTGGCCAACCTGGTGAAGGCCTACGTGGACAAGTACCGGCACATGCGCAGGCACAAGAAGGCGGAGTCTGGTGAGGAGCCGCCCACCCAGGGTGCCGAGGGCTGAGGCCGTGCCCCGGGAGCTCTGTTGGGAGTGGCAGAAAACGGGGGGCACCAGCACACCTGCCCTCGGGTTCCTTTGGTGACACCTGGTCCGTGTGCCTGTCTCCCTCACAGTTGAAAACTGGACACTTTTGTATGTATATTATAGATACACTGTTTCCATTCTAATTTATCAAAAATGGATTATCTTTAGAAGTTTCTTGATTGACTTAATACTTAGAAGGTAAAGCACTTGGTGACTGGGAGAGGCTCCGGCGGGGGTGGGGGCGTCCGTGGTAAGGCAGCTGCGTGTGCACCTGTCTCTGGGTTAGGAATGTCTTGACTCTCTCTCTAGCCACGCTGTGCTCCTGTAAATAGTTGCTCTACTTTGCAGTCGGCACAGCTGCCTCCCAGAGGCCAGGGGCAGCACTGGCGGCCCTGAGGCCTGACGATGGGAGTCGGGTGTGGGAGGTGCTGCCCCTCCCCTCTACACAAATGGCAAGGGCCACCTGCCTGTCAAGGGCCCTGTTCTTTGAGTCAGTTATTGCCTGTAATGTGTGTGGTGAAGACAGAAGTGAGTTGGTGTGCAGGGAGGCTGTGGAGGTCCCTCCCTCCCTGGGCCCCACCCATATCCAGCCTGGACCTGATTCCCTGCCAGCCAAGACAGCAGAGCATGTTCTGGGGCTCTTTTTATTAGACTGGGCGGCCACAGCCAGCTCTAGGCAGGCTGCCCCAGCTCCATAAGGAAGCCCTCGATGACATCGTAGAGGCTGTTGGCGCTGGACAGGCAGAGGCTGAGGCTGCTGCTGTCCAGCGAAGACACCCCCTCACGCTGCGTGCCCTCCAGGTACACTCGGCACAGCCAGGGCTCCAGCTGCCAGAGGGCATCAGGCGTCTGTCAGTGGGCCTGGACACATGGCCACCCCTCCCCGAGGCTCTGGTCTCACCTTCACCAGGACCAGGCTCTTCTCCTTGGGTCTCCCAGCTGACAAGTCCTGGCCGAAGCCCAGGTAGATGGTGCAGTGTGGGGAGCTGCAGCGGCGCCGTGCCCGGAATTCTACCAGCTCTGCAGAAGGAGGCTCTGCTGAGTACCTGGAGGCAGCTGCTCCCCAGGATCCCTGGAGACAGCACCCCAGGCAGGGGCCCCACTGACCTTGGAAGAAGACTCTGAAGTCAAAGATGGGGGTGTCGAAGTTGCGAGGCAGCAGACAGGCTGGGGTGGACGGGCTGGCGGAGCCTGGGGGGCCGCCTACCTCCCAGTATACCTTGCACTTGCCCATGCGTCGTGCCCACAGCTGCGGCCCCCGGAGCTCCAGCTGCAGCCCCGGGGCCACGTGCCGCAGCAGCTCCTCCGTGTAGCGCAGCTGCTTCTGGTCCGGAAGCTCAGCAGGGCTGGGGAATGCCACCGGCTGGGGGTCTGTGGCCCAGATGGCTGGGCCTGGGGGGCCGTACAGGAACACACAGCTCGGGCGCCCCACCACCTGCTGCAGCACCATGCGGCCCTTGTAGGTGATGGTCACGTCCAGCACCCCTGGGCTGGGTTCTGCATGGAGACCAAGCTGTGAGTAGTGGGCGTGGGTGGGGACAGGCTGACCCCTTCCCAGGGTGCACTCACCTTCCACCACAGTGCAGGCACCTGGGGAATGGGCCAGGTATGGCTCTGCCGGGGGCAGGGGCTCTGGGGCTGTGGCCTCGCCTATATCCAGAAGGAAATCTTGTGCTGGCACCTCATCCCCACCCCCTCCCTGTGCCCCAAGGCCCCCAACCCCTACCCCTCTCACCTGCCGTTAGGGCTGGAGGCTGGGGCCTGGGGGTCGCCTCTGCTGCCCATGTGTACAGCTCCTCAGCAGGGAGCCCTGGGTCTGAGGAGGGAGAAGGACAGTGGGAATGGGGGTCCCCTCCTGTTCTTCAGCTCCCCACTCCCCCTTCTCAAGCGGCTGTCCAGGGACACTGGCTCCTCCCATTCTCCCTGGGGCTCCACCCTCCCCTTGGCACTGCTCACACCTCCAGCACAGCCCCCAGTCGGGGAAAGCGCGTTCAGTCCCTCTCCAGGAGCCTCGGCTGGACCTGGATCTGCCCCCCATGACGCTGTCAGCAGATGGTCCCCCAGGCAGCTCTGCAACACCGCCTGAAGCAGGAGGTCCTGCTGGTCCCCGGCTGGGGCAGGGAGGAGGCTTGGGGCTTGGAGTTCAGCATCTCCTTGTGCTAGGAATGGCCCTGGGGGCCCAGCCTGCGGGGAAAAGTCAGACTCAGCGTTGCGCGGCTCCCTGGCCTGGGCGCGAGGAGAGGCAGGCAGAGAGGAGACTACCTGGGAGGGAGGGGCGGCCAGGGGGGCCTCTGCCTGCGTCCGGTCCGTGCCTGGGCCTTCTGAGGGAGGAGGGGGCAGGGGTTAGGCCCCGAGACCAGAGTGAGAGACACAGCCGGAGCCCGGAGCAGCCCTCACCAGCTTCCCGGCTGTGAACCCTTAGGGCTGCGGCCCGAGGAGGGGAGGCTCCCGGTCTCCTGGGGCTGCTGGCAGCCCCTACCAGAGCAGCTTCTAAAACTGCACATCTGATCGGGAATGTGCCCCCTTCCCTACTTGGGATGAATGCCAGCGCCCTGGGCAGCCAGCGTCGCTGACCTCGGCAGCCCAGCTCCTGGCTGAGCGTGTACACCTTGTGGGGGTCCGCGGGGTCCCCTGAGTTGTCTTGCAGCATCACGAAGCGACGCGTGCTGTGCAGGGCGCAGCGGAAGTTGGTTTTCCAGCCGGCGCGCTCCGCAGCCTCGCAGGGCGGCTGGTCACCTCCGCTGCTGCCAGGCGGCCACCTGCCGCGGGCCACGGCCCAGGCCTGGAGAGGGGACAGAGGACGTGGGCCCGGCCCGGAGTCCTGGGTGCGCCCTCCCATCCAGGGCGGGCCGGGGCGGGGTCCCACCTTGAAGATGCGCGCGTCCGCCTCGCTCAGGTCCTTGCGCCCGAAGTGCTTCCAGGGCACGCGGAAGCAGGTGCGGGCCTCGTCCAGCCACCGCAGCCCCTCGTAGCGGCCGCTGCTGACCTCCCCAAGGAGCCACTCTCCGAACAGCACGCGTGGGGCCGTCCTGTGGGTGCCGGGCCGCGGGGAGTCAGGGCGGGCAGCGGGGCGCCCCGGACGGGCGCCTGGAGAGGGTGGGCGGGGCTCTCACCTCTCCGAAGCCCAGGCCATCGCTCCCTCGGCGGTCGGGTGTTCAACGGGAGGGTGACGCTCCAGTCGCTGCAGAAGGCAGGCCGCGTGGCCCGGTGTCACGGGGGTTGGGGTCACAGGTGTGGACCGAGGGCTGGTGTGGCTCTCCCGGCAGAGGGGCTACAGGTGTGACTGCAGGTGTGGCCGGCGCGCACACATGAAGTCGCAGGTGAGAGGCCAGCGTCCAGGCCAGGCCGGCGGGTGCAGGCCGGGCCCTGCGGGGACGGGAAGGGCTGCGTCGGGGGCGGGCCAGGCTCCCGGGAAAGCGAAACCTAAACGGCGGGCGGCGCTTTCCCTCCCTCCCCGACCCACCCCCGTCCGGGTCTCACTCCGCGGAACCCGGTCTCCGAGTCTCTCCCCGCCCGACCCTCGTCCCTCGGGCTCCCCCAGCCCGGGACTCTCCCCCTCGGGGGTCACGCAGCCCCCGCGGAGGCTGTTGCTCCCGGGTCCGCACCGCGTGGGCCCGGAGTTCCGAGTACCTGGTGCCAGAGCCGCTGGGACGGGAAGTTTCGTGTCGCGGGGAAGCGGGAGCCCGGCGTTTTTATGGGGGCCGGGCCGGGCCGGGGGCGGGGCCCGAGAGGCTGCAGGTGCTGCCGAAGAGGTCACGTGGCCGGGCGGGTGTTTCCGCGAAGAGCGCGCGGCCTGTTCCTGCTTTCGGAGGCGGCCAGCGGACCCCGCCCCGGGCAGCGCGGAGAGCGGAGCGGCGGAGGCGGACAGCGGTGGCTCTGCCTGCCCGCGTGGCTCAGCCCTGCAGGGTCCAGCAGCTCCTCCTCTGGGAAGCAGCCCCTCCGCGCCTGGGGCGGGGGGTGGAGGACACAGTGGGATAAGCTGGGGACCCCACGTATAAGGGAAACGTGATCCCAGGCAAAAGCAGGTCCTTTTTGCGCATTGAGAAGTGGGTAATGGGTGGGGCCGGGCACCGTGTCTCATGCCTGTCATCCCAGCACCTTGGGAGGCCAGGGTCACCGGTCACTTGAGGTCAGGAGTTGGAGACCAGCCTGGCCAACACAGCGAAACCCAGCCTCTACTAAAACTACAAGAACTAGCCGGGCGTGGTGGCACGGGCCTGTAGTCCCAACTCCTTGGGAATCACTTGAGCCTAGGAAGTCGAGGCTGCAGTGAGCCCAGATCAGCAGACTGCGCTCCAGCCCCAGCGAGCCAGCGAGACCAAGTCTCAAAAGGGAAGTGGGTAATGGAGGTGGATGTGCCTCGAAAGAGGGGCAGTGTCGCGTTTTTTGAGTTCCTTTTTCTGTTTTGTTTTGAGACGGCTCTGCAGGGTCCAGCCTTCTCCTCTGAGCGCTCCTGTCTCAGCCTCCTGACAGCTGGGACCACAAGCTCGAGCCTCTCCGCCCAGCTCATTTTTGTATTTAGTAGAGACGGGTTTTCACCATTGGCCGGGATGGTCTCAATCTCCTAACCTCAGGTGATCAGCACACCTCGTCCTCCCAAAGTGCTGGGATTACTTACAGGCGCAGCCACGGTGCCGGCCCCGTTTGGGTTCTTGAGATTGTTCTGCCAAGAATATCAGATACTCTCTCAGTTAAAACATTTGGAAAGGAATTAGTGGTGTCTTTTCATTAGGGAAAGTGCTGATGACTCTCAAGGGACCCCTTGATAGTTCTGGGCATGGGGCTCCGGCCGTGAGAGAAGTGAGGGGGCGTGTGTCTCACCCCCACCTGCAGTCCCTCCTGCTGGGCCCCACAGACTCGCCCACCCCAGCGCGCCTCAGTCCAGGCCTCTGGAGGGGCGTTTACTGTTGCACCCCAGCCCAAGCACGAAGATTTCAGAAGGGGACTGGGACCCCTGGCAGGTGTTTGAGACCACCAGCATCCAAGCCCATCGTCTTATTGAGGGTTTGCGTTGGCTCTTCAGCCTCCCCCAGGCAGCCTCTGTGTCGGGTCGGGAGGAGGAGGTCCCCATCTCAGTCTGTGGTTAGAGCAGGGGAAGAACTTGCCGGGCCAGCTGGCCCAAGCCTGGGGAGGGCGCAGGAACAGCAGGTGGTTTACGGGAAGTGCTGCAGTGCGCTTGGGGTGGGGACAGCCTGGTTGGACTTGCCACCTCCATCTGCACACCCGGGCTCCAGCACCAAGGACCATGGGGGACCTTAGCGAGTGGGGCACCCCCCACCCCCCACAGACCCTGGTGCCCACCCCACGCCGCCACCTGGGTTTCGGGAGCCTCGATTTATTCTGCGTTGGGTCAGGGGTTGGGGGAGCGGGACCTCCAGTGCCCGGCTGGGGCGGCGGGAGGGGCCTCGTTAGATGTAGGTGGAGTCGTTTCCGGGCGCATCGTGGGGACCCCCACCCCACACCCCGTCCTCGCCCTCGTCCTCATCGCCGCCGCTGGAGTCGCCTGCGCCATCCACGTCTGGGGTGGGCGCGTTGAGAACGACCACGTCCGCCTCCGCCCCGATGTCCTCACCGAACCACACGGCCTTGTAGCCGCCCTCTGGCCGTCGCTCCTTGGTCAGGATGGACCTCATGGCCACGGGGCTTCCCCCGCTGTGGGCCGCTGCCGGGGACTCTGGGGCAGAGCCGGGGGGCGAGGGGCCAGGGGCCTCGGGGCTGGAGGGCGAGGGGCCGGGCGGCATGAGGCTGGGGGTCGTGGGCTCCGTGAGGATCAGTGGTGTCTCCGAGGGCTTGGGGTCGTGCGTGGGGCTGGGCGCAGGTGCCCAGTTGGCCTCGTGGTCAGGTTGGAATGCCGGGTTGTCAGAGCCGAGGGGCTCAGGCTCCTGTGGGCAGGGAGGGAGGGTGTGAGCGGAGTCCCTGGGCCTCTGAGTCTCTGCAGCCCTGGCCTGTCTACACCCTCAGTCCATGCTGGACCTGGACGCCCCCCCACACCTGCCGATCTGCCCTCCCCTGGCCGGTCTTCCTCTCCTGCCCCATCCTCCTGCCCTGCCCTCCGCCCTGGGCCTCACCGGGTCTTTGCCAGAGCAGCACTTGAGCCGGGGGCCATAGTGCTTGTGGACTAGGATGGCGAGGCCGAGGACAGCCAGCAGCAGCAGCGCGCCCAGCACCCCACCCAGGGCGGCCATGTCCACCACCGAGAAGCGCTTGTCCTCCGAGGGTCGGTCACCCGGCATCCCTGCCAAAAACACCGTCATCCCCACTGTTGAGTGCCCAGGGCCAACCTGTGCCAGGCTCGGGATGCCTGGAAACCACCCAGGCCTAGGCCGTCTCCCAAAGCTCTGGCTCTGCTGACCCTGGCTGGAGGGGGCTGCGTGTCCCAGTGAGACCCTGAGGGCCCCGGGGAGGCCAGGCCGCTCACAAGAGGCACAGGGGCTTGCAGGGAGAGCGGCACCCGTGGGAATCGTGGGAATCGCCGATGGCAGGTCTTCCCTGCACACATCATAGCTCGCCTCACTCTGGGTGTCTGTCAGTCCTGAACAGACCCCTCTTTGGGATTTCATGGTCAGGCCAGGCCAGCCTAGTGTGGCCCCTTCCCACAGTGTGTCCCGGACCACCCAGCGTCCCGAGTCGGGGAGTGAAGGGCGACTCCTTGGCAAACGGAGTGGGTGTTACCTGAGGACGCAGTGCTCCTGCTGACCCCGGGGGGCATCGGCTGAGAGGTTCCTGGGTCTGGGGTCTGTGCTGTGTCCCCACCGGGTGTGGCCGGTTGATGGGAAGTGCTGGTTCCCACACCCGGGGGCATCGGCTGAGAGGTTCCTGGGTCTGGGGTCTGTGCTGTGCCCGCACCGGGTGTGGCCGGTTGGTGGGAGGTGCTGGTTTCTACACCTGGGGGTCTCCCGGGTGTGGGTGAGGTCGGTGGCCTCAGAGTTGTGCCAGAGGGTGGGTGGGGGCCTGTGCCTCCCCCAGAGCTGGTTGTGGAGGGCCCCTGGGAGGGGCCAGGGGGTCTGGGGGCCTTGGAAGTGGTGCTGCTCCAGGGCCCAGTTGTTCCTCCGGCCTCCGGGGAGGGGGGGACATCTGGGGGCCGAGAAGAGTGTTTGGGCTTGCCTCTGCCCGTCCCCTGCACCCCTGCCTCGGGGAAGGGAAGGGCTTATCTGGAGAGCCCTGGGGTTCACCTGTGGAGGGGGGCTCCTGCTCGGAAACTTGGATCTCAATGACTGTGGTCGAAGTGCCCAGGCTCACCGTGTTGTTGGCCTCAACCTGGGGCAGGAAGGGGCTTGTCCCTCCTGGGTTCCTCTTTAAGCCCCACACCCTCAGAGACATCCCCCCGCCCTGCCGTTCACCTCTGCATAGAAGGTCCCCGCCCTTGGCAGTGTGGTGGCGGTCAGCACAACCTCTCCCTCCATCCGGAAGTCTGAGTGGTTGGTGATTCGGTACGTGATAGCCGAGTTGAGGTCCTGGAGAGGCCCCATTGAGTTCCCGGCCAGGCTGCCTCCCACATGCAGCTCTGACCCGCCTGCAGCGTGGAGGCCAGGTGGGCCCAGGGACCCTGGGCAGGGAAGGCAGCCAGACGGGCAGCGGGCATCAGCCTTGGTGTGCTGCCTACCGGGAACTCCGGGTCCTGAGCCTGGATCCTCAGAGGCCGAGAGGGGGCAGCTGCGTCCTCGACCACAACACCTGCTGCAGAGCCAAGCGCCACAGTGCCACGGTACAGGCTCTGGGGGAAGTGGGGTGGGCTTCCGGCTGCAGCCACAGCCCTCACGGTGACCTGGGTCACTGAGTAGCGGGCGAGGTCAGTCTGCTGGCCCTGGAGGCGGGGAGGCAGGACTGGTGGGGTTGAAGGTGGAGCTGGAGCCTGGGGCTCAGGAAGGGCAGGTGCAGATTGGAGGGGCCCCGCCGTGCCCCCTGTGGAGGTGCCCACCTCACCTTCACCAGGAGAAGGAAGGTCATGGGGCTGGGGACACTCCTGGCCATGGTGAGGTTACCAGAGTCTGGGTGGATGACGAACGTGTCATTCACGTTTCCTGGGAGGACGAGGGAAGTGCTCAGCTACAGCCCCCTGAGGCTCAGGGACCCAGCCAGCTCTGCCTAGCTGCCAGGTGGCCCTAGGTCTTCCATAACCCCAGGTGGGGACAGAGACAGGGACAGAGAGGCGGTCCAGGGTGTTGTTGTGGGCCGGGCCCCACTCACCACCCTGGATGCTGTAGATGATGCGTTGTTTGATGCCATGGTCTCCATCCTCAGCATAGATGGGTCCAGGACGCAGGACAAGGGGGGATGGCTTCGGGGCGACGGAGGGGAGGGCACATTGTGGGGTGGGGTGGATGGCCGCAGCCTGGCCCCTCTGGCTCCCCCCAAGGTCAGCCAGGGCAGGGCTGGCCGAGGAGGGGCCTGTCGCTCTGGCGGCTGGGCGTCCTTGCCTGCCTGGGACGTCTGCTGTCCCAGCATCAGAATCAGTGACCCCCCGTGGGTCCCTTACTATGAGTCAAACTGCCCAAAAATATTGAGACCCATTTGCACAAGGCTTGTCTTGACAGGTAAGGAAACATTTAGAAAGGGCGGGACCCTGGGTGTCTGCATTCCGCCTTTCACCGAGCCTTCGGTGACCCAGGCACGGGTTCCCGCTGCCCCGGGTGCCCTGGTGCCGTGAGGTCTGCAGGCAGCCTGTGAGGCCTCAGTGGTGACTGTGAGCAGGGCAGAGACGTCACCGTCCCTTGAGATCTCCAGGGCCCCAGCCCACCTCCCTGGGCCCACGGTCCTCTCTGTGTGGAGATTTGCTCCCTCACCACCTCCAGATGGGAAGGATTGGTTTACAAGGAGAGTCTGTATTTGTTTCAAAATCACAACCAAAACTGGCTTCACCCCCAATCGGCCCGACCCTCTCCTGACCCTGACCCTGACACTGACCCCGGCTATGCTTGCGTCTGTGCACTGCCCCTCCCTCCCCATTACCAGTATGTGCCCAGTAGGGACAGCCCCGAGGTACTGGGCTTGGATGCAGACGTAGCCGTCTGAAAAGCTGCAGGGCAGGAACCAGGGGGGCCGCAGGTCGGCGGGCACCACATTGAGCACCAGCGTGGCGGTGGCCGTGTGGCTGGGCTCCACGTTCTCCTCCGGGGTGTCCTGCAATGGCCGGCTGTGCTGGATCAGGCCTGGGAGCAGCTGGGTCCGGGGGCCTCAGGTGTCTGGGACTCGGGGCTGGGGCAACCTGCTCACCCGCACCAGCAGCCAGAACGCCATCTTCGGCCGCTTGTCGAAGTCCAGGGGCCGGTCCAGCCTCAGGGCGGGACGGTTTGCACCCACCAGGGAGAAGTAGTCACTGGCACCCTGGAGAGGGTCGGGGGCAGAGCCTGAGAGCCTGGGAGGGCAAGGAGCCCGTGCCGGGGGGCAGGGTGGGCAGCACTGACTGTGGTCTCCTCCCGGAGGGTGTAGAACAAGATGTCATTGGCATCTGGGTCCTTGGCCTCCAGTTCCGTCTCGGGGATGACGATGGAGTTCACTTTAGTGTCCTGGGGAGGGAGAGGAACTTGGTCCGGCCGTGGCCCCTGCGGACCCCGCTGTGATTGAGCCCCCTGCCCTCACCCTGGGCCCCCGCGCCCCGCGTGTCCAGCCCCGGCATCGCTGGCCTCACCTCCTCCACACTCATCTCCTTGGTCGTAAAGGGGAACTCGGGGGGGTTGTCATTGACGTCCAGCACGGACACAATCACCCTCGTCTGGGTCACCTGTAGGGTGTGGCCGTCAGCCTCTCCCACAGACAGCCTCCCCCGCCGTGAGTGGGGTGCAGCCTCAACGGCCATCCGTCCACGCATTCACTCATTCAGTGTTGGGGGGCTGCAGGGGGGCTGCCCAGTTCTCGGTGCCGGGACGCGGAGATCACAAGTGACAAATCTCTGCCCGGTGGTGCCTGTCCTGGCAGGACTCACAACAATAAACAAAATGGAATCTGTAAAGCTGGGGAGTAGCAGGTTCCCCCCGGGAAAAATGCAGGTGCTGGGGATGCAGCTGGCAGAATCTCAAGCGAGGACACAATCTGGTTTCGTTTTTTTGAGACGGAGTCTCCCTCGGTCTCCCAGGCTGGAGTGCAATGGCGCGATCTCAGCTCACTGCAACCTCCGCCTCCCGGGTTCAAGTGATTCTCCTGCCTCAGCCTCCTGAGTAGCTGGGTCTACAGGTGCGCGCCACCATGCCCGGGTAAGTTTTGCATTTTTAGTGGGGACAGGGGTTCACTATGTTGGTCAGGCTGGTCTCGAACTCCTGACTTCAGGAGATCCACCTGCCTCGGCCTCCCAGAGTGCTGGGATTACAGGCGTGAGCCACCGTGCCCAGCCAACAATCCAGTTTCTTCAAACAAATCCCCAAGAAAAAAGGCGGGAGAAACGGGAAAGTGCAGATTCACAGAAACTCAGGAGGATTTCCAACAGGGGCAGTGGGGTGTGAACCTCGCTTGGACCCGATTCAAACAAAAAATTGTAAAAGGCCCTTCAGAGACCGCGGGAATGTGGCATCCTGGACACTCGGGGATGGCAGGGAGCGACCACTTTTCCCAGGTGTGAAATTGACGTGGTGGTTATGTTTTAAAAAGACGGTTCCCGGCCGGGTGCGGGAGCTCACGCCTGTAATCCCAGCACTTTGGGAGGCTGAGGCGGGCGGACCACCTGAGGTCAGGAGTTTGAGAAGCCTGACCAACATGGAGAAACCCCGTCTCTACTAAAAATATAAAATAAGCCGGGCATCGTGGCGGGCGCCTGTAATCCCAGCTACTCGGGAGGCTGAGGCAGGAGAATCACTTGAACCTGGGAGGTGGAGGTTGCAGTGAGCTGAGGTCTTGCCCCTGCACTCCAGCGTGGGTGACAGAGGGAGACTCCGTCTCAAAGGAAAAAGGGTCCCTGTCTTTCAGAGACACATCCCAAGATACGTGTGGTGACGCGCCGTGGTGTGCAGAGGGCGCAGAGCCCGCCGTCCGGTGGTAGGTGGGGGCCTGTGCTGGCCTCAGGATTCTCAATTTTCCTTAATTGCAGAAGTGGTGGGAGTACAGGTGGGCGGATGGTGGATTTCTGGGTGGAGCTGGGCAGATTTACCAGTGGGGGGAGTGGGAGCCGAAGCGGTCCCAGTGACTGGCAGGATGAAGGTGCCTCCCTGGCGGGGGCAGTGCTGGTTGAAGAAATGGGTGCAAGCCTCGGGCACGCTGGAGGCAGAGTCTGGGCTGGAGGAAGTGTGGGCATCACTCTTGGACCGTGGCATTTGAAAGCAGAGCCGAGGTGAGGTCACCAGGGAGTGGCTGTGGACTGAACCCAGCAGAAGTGGCCGGGCGGGCGGGGGAGCGGGGCAGGTACTCACCAGCAAGCCTCCCCTCTGGCACCGCAGCTCAGCCTGAAGCAGTGAGTTCTCCTGTGGAGGCAGATGGGCCTGCAGTCACCACCCCACCCCACAGGTGGGGAGGCTGAGGCCAAGGGGACAGGTGCTGGGCCAGACCCCACCAGCAGTGGTCAATCCTGAGCCGTGGGCCCAGGCAGCTTCCTCCCTAAATGGCCCGGCCTTCTAGGCAGGCACCACCAATCGTGGATGTCAGTGGATGCTGTGGGCACAGAGCCCCTAGGCTCCCGGGGAAGGTGTGGCCTGGGGATCCGAGGGCCCTTCCCCCCAGCCCCTCCACCCCGCCCACCTGCCGCCCACACCTCACCTCGTAATCGGGAGTCACGTTGAGAAACAGCTGGTTTCCAAGGATCCGAAACGCGAAGGGGGTGGACGAGGGTCCGAGGGTCACCTCCAGGCCCCCTGGGACGTGGATGTCCACCAGGGGCTCGGTGACATTTGTGTTCTCCTCAACTTCGAAGTAGGTCTGGTTCACAGAGCAGTCTGTAAGGTTGCAGAGGAGGGGTCAGCGCCTCCCAGCCCCCAGCTCTCTCTGCCCGTGCCCCCACCTACCCCTGCCCGAACGTACACTGGGCCTGGGCCAGGGCCCCCGGGGGTTGGCCGAGCAGCCCGGCGAGCAGCAGGGGAGGCCACAGCAGGGCCCAAGCCCCCATCTTGGCGGCCGTCGCCTGGCGGGAGGGTCCGAGTGGCTCTGGCACCCAGAGCTGGTGCAGTTCCTGCCTCAGCGACCTTTGCCCCAGGGCGGCACCACCCGCTTTATGATCCTTTACAACCAGCCTCTGCCAAGGGGGCTCCCGCTGGCCGGCTGGCCGCCAGGAGGGATGGTCATGTGGCCCAAGCTGGACTCAGGGCAGGGGTCAACCAGGGGCTCAGGCCACAGACCCCAAAGCACAGGGT